ACGAACAGCGATGTGAGGAAAATCTTAGCAAAAAAAAAAAAAAAAAAACCCCCAGTTTAAAAAAAAAAAGGCAAAATTTTTTTACAATCGTTCAAACAAATGAAAAATGACACAGTAACATTATAGAGGGAGCCTTCTCTGCCCGTTCAGGTCTGGAATCTGAGGAAAGCTTTGAATGGGTTGACGACGCTTTGTCTTCAGGCCAAAGAAACTCAGCGGGTCTGAAAGGCTGTCGAATCCAGATCCCTCAGAGTTCTCTGTGCAAAGTTACAGAAGACAGAACAAAACAGTCAACGACCAAGATCTCTTCCTCTGCCTTGCAACAACAGTTTGACCCTCTGCAGAAACGCTTTGAGTTTTCACCATAGACATGATTCTAGAACATTGGCCCAGAAAAAATACGGTTTATTGCATTCATCCATTCTTTATACCCACTCAGTCTTCTGTAAGTCTTTGCTGGTGTCTGCCTCAAATGATCAGAGAGCCAGTCAGACACAAAGATCTATGCAAGCACTGACTCACACTCAATTGCAAATGAGCAACCTCTAGATCTAACCTCATAATTTACATAAGATCTCCAATGAGCATATAACCCACAACCTTCTGGCTGGAGGCAACCATGCTCCCCACTACCCCCCAGTACCCATAATATCTTATCAAACGGTTAATTCACTCAAACAACCAAATAATATGAGCGTATTTGATGCTGGTAGGTTTTATAGCTGACCAATAAAGTCTGATATAGTCCAATAAAAAAGGCACTCATGACTATAAAAATGAATTACCGAACTACCGCTAGCACTACATAATACAACCAATATTAAAACATAAACATAGATACTTACCAGGTAGTTTCAAGCCCTTTGCAATTACTTGACCAGAATTGGTTATCTGATAAGTTCTGAGACATTAACTAATTTCAATAAAAGTACCTGGTCATTAAAAAAATATAAAAACCCTCAGGCAAGTGGCAGAGAAAAGCTCTAGTAAGTTATGAGAAAGCAAAATGCTGTGAACGTTCAATGAAAGCAGCTGGTAGGTTCTGCATAAAACCTTTAGAAATTTAGAGATACCTATTCACCTAACAGTCCTGTATTTTAACTGTGGGAGGAAGGCAGAGTACTGGAGCAAAATCATGCATGAACGGGAGAAGAAGCAAACACCATGCAGAAAGAGCCCCCAACCTGGTTGCTGCAAGGCAACAGTGCTACAAACCAAAGCACCGTGCAGCCCCCATTCACTTTGGTGGTTTTAATTCAATTTACATGTCATCTCTAATCTATATGATTGTGTATAAATCTTTACCCAAGCATTTAAAATAAAAAAACACAGCACGCTGAAGCTAGCGTATAGTAAAGTCCATAATGAGGATAAATGTTTTCATTTTGCATCAATATAATTGGATTGTAAATTATTAAACTATTATATCAATATGGATCAATGTCAGGAAAGTAACCTCCCGCTTGGAATTGACTTAAAGTTTCACGAGTTGTCGACTTAGTTCCTCCTCACCGTGAATCCCAATCATGTGCTCCAGGATCAGGACCCTCTCTGCCAGAATCTTCAGGGCTTCTCGGAGCTGCTGCACTGCTTCCCCCTGAATGACACCATCCTCTTTATTGTGACCGGTTATAAAAAACAAAACAAAACAGAGAGACCTGCCCTGTAATGTCTCTTACCTCACTCAAGCCCGACCCAGGCTCTCCCTTTTGCCCCAGTGATCCCTATGAGTGAAAAAAAGTCATGTTATCTCTACAAGTTGGAGATTTAAGGTTTACAATTCACATTAACCATAAACTCACAGGTAGGCCCTGCTCGCCTCTGGCACCGGGGGGCCCCTATAAGAGCAATAATATCAGAGTCAATCACATTTCTAAAAATTGAATTCTTTATCCCCGCGAGCTAATCTGCTTCTTCACTACTTCCCCAAACTCAAATCACACATGAAGAGAAAAGGGATCATGTTTAAAGACAGGGAACCCACTGGAGACCTGACAGAGAGGACCAAACATGGCTGCTCTGATATGTGAGGTCTGTATGTGGATGAGAGGGAGAACAGGATTAGTCACGGGATGGAGAGAGTCTTTGAAGAAAAGCTGGTTCCCCTTTGATACGTCCAAGAGTGCAAGAAAGGGTCATTTATAACACCGAAAGCATTCAGACTCTTGATAAGTATGAAATATGTTCAGACAGCCTGATAATCCAATAACGAGGGTTATTTTTACCCTTTCCCCTGGATCTCCTTTAGGTCCAGGATTTCCCAGTCTGCCTGGGACACCTTCCCTACCCTGGTATCAGGGGAAAAAAAGAGTGATTGTTAATAAACATGATTTAGTTCCATCAACGCTTATGAGCATATAAGAAAGGCCTACCATCTGTCCTGGAAGACCTGGTATCCCTGCTGGTCCCCTTTCTCCAGGGGGCCCTGTGGTGTCATACAGAAACCAGAGAGAAGGCAATCATTCATAAATGCCATCAGGAGTTAGTGTTTCAATTTAACACTAATAACAATGTTTCATAACATCCTCAACCAACTCCTTGTTTATCTTTCCATAGCAGATACGTCTGGCTCAGTGATGATTGGTTTAACCGTCTCTTTCTTGGACAAAAGTGCTGGTGAAGCTATTGTCGACATTGTTTTCTAGTTCTTATTAAATACTCGGGCGGCTAAACCTCCTCTGTAAATTTCGTAATAATAATAATGATAATAATTAGTCAAATATGTATTGTCAAACCTCATTAATGCCGTCATTAAACTTCATTAAATATCTGCTAAAATGTGACTAAATTGATGAGTATGTTGCACATTGATCAGCTGTTCAGTTCTACGACACAATCTCCCTTAAGCTCTGGAGCAGCAGGATGCTGCTGGTCAGCCTCTATAAGAAATCCCTGTTGAGGATTGTGCCTCAGCGCTTTGAAGCAACCAGTGAGAAAGCAGATCCCTGATTAGATAACATACAAAAATACGTCACTTCCAGTGAGGCTAAGCCTCTTTTGGGGTCTGTGGAGCAGGGGCGGGTCATGAAGCTGGCTGCTCAATCCTGATTGGCAGAGCAGGCTAAAAGAACTGACAGTGGATAGGTGGGAGGTTTTCCTCATGCAACTCAGACAAGAGAGGAAAAAGTGATCAATCTGTCAGAACAGTCATCTTGTGCCGAAGTCTTGCTGCGGTTTCTGGAGTTTTATCATTTCAGAGCACTTCTCAACAGCTATTTCCACCCACTGTAATGATGTGTTTTATATGTTTCAACATTTTTTAATGCAATACATGATATTTGGATTCAAATGAGCAGCCGGCGCCACTGGTTGACTTAAACTGTGTGTTTTTGCCCTCAGAAAAATAACTAAGCGTTATTGGGGTCATTAACCATTTCTCCCTCTCTTTGCCTTTGCTCTCACAGAGAGTATTCATGGTTCAGTGCTTCTATACAACGTATCTAATGGAAAACACTCCCTATGCAGTAGTAGCAGAGTCTGGTTCTGAAGGAAGTTCCTCACTGTTTAATAGGTGTGCTTCCTCTCCACCATCCCCACATACTTGGGATGGACTGGTTATTTTTTTAACAGCAAACAGTAAATAATTTTTATTTTAATAAGATGAGGACTGGAATTGATGTATTTTATTCTGAATCTGACTCTTTATGTGCTTAGATTAAGACTAAATCAACAGAGCTACTGAATAGTAATCTGAAGTGATATTTGCTGTCAAATGACACTATTAGGATAAACCAGACTGAATATGTTTATTGTGATTCTGTGATAAACATCCTCCTTTACACCGAGATGAAATTTTACCTAGACTGTGATGCATAATTTATGCACAGCTTAAACAGCAAACACATGCTGTTGACTCACTAGGCTCAGCTTTGCAAATTCACAACTATGACTTATTTGCTTGATGGATATAAACCATGCAGCTCTGACACCATGTTTTTGTAATCTTATACTCAACCAGGAGCTGGACTTATACAGGACATATGATACACATGCATATTGTTCTGAGGCCTCTTTTCAGACAATATTTATACAGAGAACGGCTCTGGTTCCTACCCGAGGGGCCGACAGGACCAGCTGGTCCAGGGGGACCAGCTCTGATCTGTGGAGCAGCGAGGACTGGATGGTTGGGATCCATCTCTGAGGGGAAATACAAGCATCAGTGACAATCTTCCCACATTTAAACAGTTTAACTGTGTTTAACTGTCATAAATATAATGCTGCTAGGTAGCAAGCCAAATATTTTCACTATCAGCAATGTGGGGAGTTTAAATATTTCCCTCATGGGTCAAATTACTTCAGAGATGAAATTCTGATTATTTTTCCAGAGGAAATTACATAAAACATAAAAAGCTTCTTAAATAAATGCTGCCATGAATAAGCATTGGGTACATTAATAAGGTTAACTCGGCCTGTAAAGTTATAGTAAAAAAAAATACAAAGTTCCAATAATTATTTATGTATAAATAACAGAAAGACAGAAAGACGTTACAATCAAAACAGAAACAAAAGCAAAAATTTAAACTAGTATTATGCATTTTTTCAAACTTTATTATATTTTTATCATGGTCCTAATGAACACAAATGGTGATGATGGATCTTTTTAAGATATATTGGATTGTTATTGTCATTGAGTCAAACTAAAATATAATGCACATTATAAATAGCTATAACTTAACAAGCATAATGTATAACAGAGTCTGGGTCATTAAAGTGATAAAATAAGCCTGTTGTGTCAGATTCTAAAAACGCTGATGTATGTGGTAGAGGGATTTAAACTCAAGTAAGAAAAGGTTTGTTTACTCCCTGCTTTAAAATGATAAAGTTTGAAATGTAGGATAAAATGATTTAAATGGTGATTTCTAACTGAGCCATACATTTTTTTTATTCTTCATAGCAGTTCAGATACATGCTAAGTGTTTTTCTTTTATTGCATCATACAAAGATAAGAGACCCATACAAAGAGCAGAGACCACATTAGTCTTAGTGGTAGTTTATCAAAGTCTGAATAGAAAATCCTGGCTAAAGTAATCCTTCCTATTACACTTATGAACACTTTGTCTGTTTAAACCTAATAATGTAACATATTTTATTGGGAATTTTGTATCTTTTATATTCCAGCTTAGAAGGATAAGGATAAATATGTTTAAAAGAGCTTTTTTTAATCATATAAATCTAAAAAAGCATGATGTGCATATACTCCGTCCAACAAGTAAACATATCTCTTCGGGGAATCTCTAAATCAGTTTTGGAAATCTGGAGTGAAATTTGATCATCTTTCTCTTTGGGAAAGTTCACAGTGCCAATAAGGTTTGATGGAGAGACTATGTGCAAATCAATTTTCATGTCTTGTTACAGAATCTTGCTTTGGTGGTATGTTCAGCGTCCAGTCTCTCAAGTCAATTACCGTCTCTGACAGAATTTCTTACTGGACTGAGTTATATTTAGCTCCACCCATCTGACCATCTTACTGGAGTCTATTGCAGGAAAACTTTCCCACAGTATAATGTTTCCATCACCATGGTGTTAGTATCAGTTTTTCTGCCCCATCATGGTGTTTTGCTTTTCAGATTGGCGTTTACCATGTCCCTCAACGGTTTGCATAATTTTATGCAGGAAACAAACAAGATTTCTTTTGTCTTTCATGCAATAGTGGATTTATGCTAAGAAAAAAAATTCAAACGTGTGAACTATTTAATGTCTGAATGCTGCTGGCTGGACTGGGCTGTATTCAGGGGTAGGGCATGAATGCACGCCACAGTTCTTCCATTGTTATTTGTAAAAGCATTAAAAACTGCAATCAATTTTCCTTCAATTTTCCACCACCTTGTCTTGGTCGATAACATAGAATCCCAATAAAACAACTGTTAAAAAGTACATCACTGTGTAGACAACGTTTCAACTATAAACCATAAGATAAGAGCAGGTTTGAATGTACAGTGTGATGAGAGGGTTGAACAAAAACATTTGAGGATTATCAGCACACTCTGTTCCAGCTCTGCACACTTAGGAAGAAAATAACAGATAAAGCTGAACAAAGAACAAACTGGCATGCATCAGATAGTATCTGCTCATATATACAAAAATAGGCTGATAACATTGCATGCAAGTAAATATCCATGTTTAGGTTCATGGAAAATGTATTCTTAGTTCACATTCAGTCTCGGTCTTCCCCATCATCAGTAAGAACTGAGGAAGTTTCTTGGATGAGAGGCGAAACGTCTCTCATCCAACCTTAACTGAACTTTCGAGCTTTACATTCATACACTTCTTTCAAAAGAATAACTTCTCAGTGGGAAAGTCTAAAGCTACGGTGGAGATTCCTGAGCTGGATGGAGTTGGATGAGATCCAGCCTGACGGTGACGACCAGGAACAGCTGTCTGATCTAAATGAGGTCCCATTTTACAGCGCAGGAAATACTACAAGGTGCTACAAGTTCGAAGAAAACACACAGGACCAGGATGTCCTGTCTTAATCCAAGCATGTTAGATATTTCTACATTCATTTGTGGGGATAAATTTAGTCTTAAAAACCACCTCACACTTCCTCATCACTTCAGCATATGCTCATTCTCAGTCTTCCCCCCACCTCCATGTTGAGACAGCCCTGTTACATTATGGCTGCAGTCCACAGAAAAAGGGGTCTAGAAGAAGCAGATTTCCCTCTGGAACTAATTTTCTAATGTTACAGTCTCCTCCAGTCTGGCTGCCTCCCCAAGAAACTCCACATGAGTGGCAGAATATCTCCTCCCTTGTTCAAAGCCAGCCTTGCTCTTGGCTCGGGGCCGTGGCCAGTCCCCCTCCCCGAATCACAGATTGTTGTGCTGACAGCTAACAAATTAGACCTGATTTACAGCCAGTCACCCCCCTCCGCTGCCTTTGCTTACATGGTCCCACAGACCCAAATCTACATAGCTTCAGACCCGCAGACACAGTCCTGGGCTCGGAGAGGCAGGCGAAGCCAAAACGTCTAATCAGAGCCAGCAGGCCTCATGAGGTAATACTGATTACACAGACTCCTGCTGCCTCCCTGTGGTAACACTGCAGTACTGGATGGCAGCATGCTGATGTGTCTGGGTTTTCCTTTTTTTTTTTTAGATCAGAAAGAAATATTCGCTTCCATCTAACCAGCACAAACTAAGCGGTGACGACATGTAAGCAAAGAAAACATGAAACACAGAGCAGTAAAGGAAAATTATGTCTTTTCAAAGCAGCCACAGCTAATCCTGTCATTTATATTGGTGGGTATGCTCATTAAAAGCTGCTCTATATGGTGGCTGAGCAGCAACAAAACCCAGAGAAACAATTAAACTACAGGGATTGCAGAATTTTTCAGACTCCTTTAAGAATTTCACTTTCTGTCACCTTATAAACTTCAATGCAGAGTCTTTTTAGGAGGTTTTTTTTATGTGACCCGAGTTTTCAAAAAAAAGTCTGAAACAATTAATTCCTCCAAATAAAACCTGGCCAAATAATAGCCTTTAAAAGTTGTTTTATGAGTAAATGGGATTAATTTTTGTTGGATTTAATCTCATCATGAATCCAGTTTCTCTGTGGAGGCTTGAAATGTTTATTGGAGATAATAAGTTAACAGAAAGCATCATAAAGGCCAGGAGAACAGCCGAGGGATCAGGGGGGAAGTTGTGAAGAAGTTTAATGCAGAGTTAGGTTCTTAGAAAGTATCTCAAGCTTTAATCATCCCACGGAGCGCCATTTGAGTCCATCATTTAAAAATGACACAGCGCTATGAAATCTAACACTATCCATCTGAAGTGACAGTTTCTCGACAGAACAATGATATTTTGTACTTTTTGCAAGTTTGGCCTTAATGGAATAGTGGCAAAAAAACAACAAAATAAAGTTCTTCAACACCATGTATCTAAAAGTTGCAAGGATAGCAGCTCAGGGGTTCTGGACCTGGAAATTCCTGGTCTAAGGGACAAACTCTACATGTAGAGGGAAAAAAGACAGCTAACACTGCTCCCGTGAACACTATGGTGAAACATAATGATGGCAAAATACTGCTGAGGGAATGTTTTCAGCAGCAGTGACAAAGACCCAGCTCAGACTTGATGAACAGATGGATGAAGCTAAATAAATGTAAAACTGTCTGAGGATGTAAAATAGTTGAGGCTATGGTGGAAGTTCACTGTCCAGCAGAACACACAGTTAGACATCAAATCCCATTGTGTAGGATGGCCAAGTTAAAGACCAGACATTCAAACATAAACAAGTTGCTAGACTTTAAAGCATATGTTTAGTAATGCTTTGGATCCAAACTGACTGAGGCTGAGTTGTTGTGCAAAGAACAGTAAGAAGAGTTTAGCCTGCCATTTTGTCGAACGAGTAGAGAAATACCCAAAGGCTTTCACTGAAGTAAAAAGTAAAAATTAACAGGATGCACTTTACTGTTTATCTTTTTTGAATAAATAAAAAAAAGGGTTTGATAACCATGAACTGAATAATATTTGAACTATTTAGTCTTGGTCTGCACCCAATAATTTGACTAAAGTTACTAAAGTTCTCTAATAAAAGCTTATGTTTCTGTCTCTAAACAGTACCAGCATGAATCCATTTGGACTTTAATCTTCAGTGTAATGAGTATAAATGTCTGAGAAATGTTCACGGCTCGCCCTGAACTGTGAAACAGTCTTACTTTACCTTTTGGCATCAATTCCTTCTGACCACCCAAACACTGAACATTAGGAGGTTTTTACAGCAGCTCAGGGGTCAAAATTAAACCATAAATGTAAGACCTTGTTTAAACGTGGCACTCACTCCTGTGCTCAGTAATCTGATCACACCATTACAGCCCAGTGACAGGTGCTAACACCCAACAAAAACATTAATGTTGGTTTTCGTCAGACCACTTCCAAAGGTGATATGGGAGTTTTCTACCAACCTGTTCAGGAGTCTGAAAACAGATCTGATCATTACGATCTTATAAAATCCACAGTTATATGAGTTAATCTTTGATAGATTATACCTTGAAGTTACAGTTTGGATTGTCCTTGATACAAAACAATCATTGTTTTTATAATTTCTGGAGCTGATCACAGTATTTTACTTGGGATGAAGCTACGAGTTCATTTTAATGCTAGCAAATGTCTGGGATCTAATCAATCAGGATGGTTTTTATTCCAGGTTCTGATCTATTTATGTCAAATTTATCCTAGTTGCCAAATAATGGTTAAACTTTTAAACAGCATCAACAGGTAATTTTGAACAAGCCCTTTTTTAAGGTTTCTTACCTGGATGAAAAACATCTCCCCGAATAGGTAAAGGAAAGGAACCAGACGCTGGAGGACCTGGTGGACCAGGAAGACCTGGAGGACCGGGGCGACCGGTCTCACCTGGGAGACCTCTGTCCCCCTTTTCTCCTGAGCATTAAGAAAAACAGAACAAAACAGTAAAGTGAATATAAACAGAACTCAGAATATACCTCAGTCCATTTGACTAAACAGATTAGACTTGAATAATAATGATTTTTTTCTATGGGGAGCTTCTCCATCACCTGTTCTTCCAGGAGGACCTGGAATTCCTCTTGGTCCAGCAGGTCCTGGTGGTCCAACAGGTCCCGGTGCCCCCCTAGCTCCTGGTACTGTGGAAAACATAAAAAAAAAGGAGTTTAAATAGAACAGATATTCTTACAGTTGCAGATAAACTTCCTTATGACTGAAAAGTGGAGACATTGGTTTGGTTTCTATCTAAGATCGAAAATAACAAGTTTATATTTCCCTGTTGTAGCATGATCACTATAATTAAACAAAAAAATCGGAATTTTTACTTCTGCCATCGATAAAATTAATCATTATGAACTCATAAAAAAACAATCTTGAAACAGACCTTCCGATCCCAGTGGGACATATTTTGGTAAATACAAAACACTAATATATCTAATTGAAAAAAATAAATAAATAAAATATTTATGTTTGAGTTTAATTGCAGCTAAATGTCTAAATATATCAAATCTTCAAGGAAATGTAAATATTATCTGTTTTGCCTTAGGTAATAAACATGATGTAACACAGTAGCCCTGCATTAAGGTGCAGAGTACGGTAAAGGAAGAAATGCTCGATTTGAAAGAGCAGAGTAACATCTTAATGTGTCTAGGTCATCTGCCTTAAATTACTGAGTCTTTATATTCAGCTGAAAATATTTCTGCAAATAAATATACCAAATGGAAAACAAAAGATAAATACAGTGGAAAGCACCTGCCGCCCACTGTTAGGGCATGGTTAGTGACTCCAGAGGCAGAGGTCCATGCATTTAGTACTTTTAGAAATGTCAGTAAGATTTGAATAGATCTGAAAAAGACATTGTATTAAAAAACACATCAAATATCAGATGATATCGCTGTGTAAAAAAAGTAAGGCTTTTTATGAATCAGTAAAAGGGCCGTAAATAAAAGGATTCTGTATGTGAAAGTTAAAATATCGTATAGTATATCTAAATACTAGGGATGCACGATATTGGGATTTTGGCCGATATCCGATATGCCGATATTTTAAAACTCAAGTAGCCGATAACCGATATCGATACTGATGTTAAAGCTGGACAAAAATAAGTAGTCATTGAAAATAGAAGTTTTGTTATCCATTTCTGACACTTTGAAAAATAATATACTATCAATCTGATTTTTAAAAACGCGGTATCGATCTATTTTACTTTCAAAATCTCCTGAAATTTCATCATTCTGTTACAAACTCTCATGATATCTTGCAAATTCTTGTGAGATTTTGTTGGTAAAATAGATCGATACCGCGTCAATATATAAACATATAAAAATATGGCAAAATTTCGTGAATTTTCGGGGGATTTCGTAGCATAACGATGACATATAGCAATATTTCATTAGTAAAAGAGATTGATGGTGTTTTTAAATGGCAATATATCAGCATATGAAGATATTGTGATATTTTAATGTATCAATATTTTTTGAGGGAGAAGAAGAAGTAGTATTTTTTTTTTTTTTTAGACTTTAGAAACTCAGAAGCTGATCAAATATCGGGTTAAATATCGGTGGGATGGCCGATGTCCGATATTCAGTTTTAAGGCCGATACAGGCCGATACCGATAGGGGGCCGATTATATCGTGCATCCCTACTAAATACATATTTATACATTGTTATTAAGAAAATATTGAAATAAATCAAGTTTTTTGTAGATTATTTGAGATTTTCAATGAACATTTTAATGATTACAACATTTCCGTTTAATTTAATTTAGGTATTTTTAGAAGAATGTGGGAAATTATCACAACATAGCGATATAAAGAGAGCTTCCTTAAAAGTAAAGTAGAAACTTTGACATGACTTTCTTTTGAAACCATGATGAACTTTTGTTCAGCCACCAGCTCAAAATGCATCGATAAGATACTGAAACTAATTAAAAATACTTAGAGGATAAAGAAAAATAAGCATTCTAAGAGGACCTCCTTAAAAATATATTTAAAAAAAAACATCCTCGCTGTATCAAGGATTATTAAACACCATTTTTCACTATTGAAAGAAAAATGTGAAAATCCTGAGGAAAAAGTCATGTAGGCTGCATGGAAACATAGCCATAGTGTTTATGAGGCTGTCCATAAAAGGGTTTGTGGTGTGTTTGATGGTTAGCAGGAGCGTTAAGAGTATAATGAATGCCCACAGACTATATCCATTTTGTCCTAATAAAAAGGACAAATGTTTCATATATCGACTTATTAAGTGTAACATTAGGAGGTTAAAGCTAAACATTTCCATCTGTTGTTCTGTTTCTGCTCAAAGACACAGTTTTTCCACATCTGCATTCATAAACATGTTTTCTGTGATGTGGTGACACCTTGTGGCAGGTACGGTGGTGAGGTGGGTCGACGAGTGTCCACCTCGTTTCCTGTCGATCCATCTGGTAATTTGGCTTCAGGCGAAGATGATCGACCCTCCTCCAATAGTTTGATCTGCGGTGGAAGCAGCACAAGTTTTCACTATAGGCATGCTTTCAAATTATTTTTAAACTTTCTTTTAGGGTGGTATTTACCTTTGATTCAATGGCATTTATTCTGCTGCTCATGTCGTTAAAACTGGTGCAGTTCATGCATTCTGTAGGGAAATACAAAAAGGTAAGTAGATGAGTTTAAATCTCCTCCAGCTGGTTGTTCTACTGTCATGTTAACAGGCATAGCTACATGTCTTTATGTCAGAGCAAACAAAGCCAAGTTACACAAGAAGAAATTGCAGGTTAACCGAACCTCAGAAATCTTTAAATCATACAATTGTACCATCTGATGTGTCCGGAGTTTATTTTCTGTCTGTCCCTTTTATGAAGACAACTATTATGTTAGGCACTTTTATTGTTTAAAAAAAACAAAAAAAAACAATAAAGGCAAAACCACTAACTGGTAATTTATACATGAGGAAAAGGATGTTTGATCTTCTTCTTTAATTTGAAACAAAATATTCCACTTACAAGGTTGGTCAACCTTTCAATTAAGTTCTTTTTTTTTCCTCCCACAAACTTTTGCCACACAATCTCACAGCACATCTGGTTATAAAATGCAAGTTATGGTAAAAAAAAAATCCACATTGCAACTATTTCTTAAAGGCATTTTTAACTTTCTGAAAAGTACCATGAGAAGTGGGGTTCAAAAATAAGCAAAGTTTTTCTGGAATCTCTGCCACAAAATCATAATTCTGCCTTTTGAGTGTTGACAAATTCTGAGTTGAGAGTCATAACACAAAGAAGTCAAAATCAATGTATATTAATACTTTGTAAAGACTGCAGCAACAAACAGATAACTTTATCTCATGCTGCGCTATGCATACACTCTGTCTGCACTGGTTAAGATTCACTTAACTCTGCAATCTAAGTGCTCAGGGTGACTCACATTACAGCTGACTTTATTTTATGTTGTATTTAATCCAGGTATAATTTTTGATCAATTATGGGCACTATAGACTTTGTATAGAATGACAATCAGCTTGGTCAGATTAACAATTTGTAATGGATACTGTATAAAATAAATAACAGTAGTAACAGTGAATATTAAAACCCTCATCTTAACCAACACAGACATGACAGAGATTGATGGGGTTTTTTTCAAACTGTTTATTATTTCTTATTATTATTTCTAAGTGGTATTAGGACAAATAAAGTGCCAAAAGTTTAAGGCCCAAAAAATTTGATTCATCCATGAATAAGAAAACAAAGTAATAACACAGTTGAACAGATATCTACAAGCCAGATGGCTGTTAAAGAATCAATGCTGTAGTTTACGTAATGGAAATAGAGAGAAATAGTCTTTTCATTTCATTAGTGGCTCTTCATTTAGGTCAGGGGTTAGGTCATTTTAGGTCCGGTCGTCTAGAGCTACCATACTGTAACGTTTAAGCCCCTGTATCACCTTGACGATTAAGCCAGCGTATTCTGACGTACCGAAAATCTGGCAAAAACACTGGCATATGTTGGATAAGTTATGGGTATGTTCTGTATAAGTTATGAGCATGCTGAAGTACGCTGAAACATGCTTGCACACGTTGACAAACGGCGAGTACGTCAATACTGACGATGCAAGCTTATGGTCATACATGGCCCATAAGTTAGAGGTAATGTATCTAATCATTGACATACGTAAAGTGTAAGTTACTCATAAGTCCTGGGGTCTAGCTCATCCAAAACCTATGACTAACTTGTGCATAACTTATGTGTAACTTATTATCTCCAACGCATATAAACTTAATTGACGTGTTCCAGATGAACGCTGAACATGTTTCTAACTTACAGCTACTGTATAGTGGTGTACTAGAAGTGTTTTGGTATGAAACGGGGTTCACAGGAGGAAACTGTCAGTTTTCCTCCAGACTGCATCTCTATCATAGGGTGAGCGAGAAGGTGAATGGGGTGGATCCTCCCTGCGTTCACGACCACGGCCAATAAACTTTTAGCAGACATAACGCTGAATCTGCTGCAACTGAAAAACCTCTTTCTTTTTCCTTTTTCTCTTTATTTATACTTTGTTTTTTGGACGGGTGGTAAATAGCAGTTAGGGTAATACCACGATCAAAGAAAGCTTTTTATGCAGACCAGGGGCCTCCGGGTGCATTGCTGCCCCCTTCAGGACACTGGGTTGTGACATTCCATGATCATTATACTACCGTGAGTTGTGCTTTAGTTAGGCTGTTGTTTCACATAGGTTTTGGGCTCGTTATAAATACCCTTTGTATACGCACAAAAGGAAAAAAATACATAGAAAGTTTAGCGTATGCCAGCGTTTTAGAAGATTCTGGGACGTCAGGCATACGCTGGCTAAATCAGCACGGTATGAAAGGGGCTTAAGATGATGATGATGAATCTAAGGTCTCAATCCTCTCAGATATCTCAGCATAAGTATGGTAAGAAGCCACTCATTTGATTCAGGTGTGTTAAAATAAGGTGCATCTAAAAGCTGCAGGATAGAAGTTCTTGAGGACTGGACTTGAGCATCCCTGATTTACCGGTAAATAATGTTTAGAGAATTTTTATCTTCATGGGCTTCTAAAGAATAGGTTAATTGCTAATTTTAGCTCTGAAACATACCACCTATTCATCAACAAGTCCCACACAGTATGGATAAAAAAGTTTTAGTTTTTTTTAGACATTTACTAGCAACACTTGCTTGAACAGCTAAACAGTAAAACAATCAGAGCGGTAGCATCTAGCACATGAAAATATAAGGGGGAAGATTAAACATAAACACATTTCAATTCTGTACACTGATTTTGACTGCAGGTAAAGTGATAAATGAAAAAAAATATTTCGTGTTTTTTTGTTTTATTAAGCTTTACATAAAGAAACAAGGGTATGGTTTTGATTATCTTAGAAAATAAAACACTCACTCATACACTATCATGTTATTATTTTTTGATATTTCTTATGAACATGTTTCGCGTGTTTATTTCTGTTTCTATATATATATTTATTCCAATGACACCTTAAATAAATGTATTTATTTATGCATATTAATATAACACATACCCAGCACAAACTTTTCTATATCTTCTTACTGTTTTCTACTTATGGACATTTTTCATTACAAAATCCAGGTTACCTGCTGCTAAACCATGGATACACTTTTCTTGCTATATGCAGCCTTTTGACCTTTAGGCTGTAAAACCTTTTCAAAACAGGCCCAATCGCCTTCAATTTAACCACACATTTCTTTCAAACCTCACCATCCTCTGGTTTTAGGCTTAGAACAAGTGTGGAATGTCAGCTGTCAGTTGCACAGATGGGCCCCACCCACACTGTGGCCACTGCAGGAACAACCAGAAGGCATAACAACTGGTGCTCATAAATAACTAAAAGCAACAACAAAAATGACCCAAACAACTCAGTCTCAGACCACTGCCAGCAGCACGCTACGGCCAGTTTCTGAGGTTTCTGCTCCACTATAATAAAACAAGGTGAGCATCTAAAATCGCATACAGAGGCATACAAAAGTATGTATCACCCTTTAGGACTATTGCAATATTAAATGCACAAACTTCAGCATCTTTTAATTGGGAGTTAATGCTTGGCTTTCATTAGCAGTCGGCCTTGTTTACTCTGATGCTCATAAAATAAATCCAGGTCAACCGATTCGGGAGTCAACTTATTTGCAAATATAGATAAAGAAAATCATCATGAGGACCAAGGAATGTAGCAGACAAGTCAGATATAAAGTTATGCAAAGGTTTAAATCAGGGTTAATTTCTAAAACAATACACCGGGCACTCAGCATCTCCCATAGCTCTGTTCTAGAAGGGATAGAGAATAACAGTCCAAACCTACGTAGATATAGTGGTCCATCTAAACTGACAGGCCTTGCAGCAACAGCATTAATCAGCTAACCAGGTGAAGCCCTGTGGTATCTTTGGAGGAGCTGCAGGGATCCACAGCTCAGATGGGAGAATCTAAAAAAAACCACTGTCAGTTGTGCAGAGAAATTAGGGTTTTACGGAAAAAATTGACAAATCTGAAAGTCTGTTCTAAGAAAAAAACCTTTCCACAAGAAGAGAAGAGGATGCAGAAAACATATGATGATCCTCAGATCAGGCATCACCCTTTTTCTCTTTGAATAAAAGTGCGCTGTTGAAATGCTCTTTTTTTTATAGTGTAAATGTGTGGCCCAAGGTAGCATTTCTGAATTCAAAGCCTATATAACCAGCGCATTTTGCTCCTCATCATGAAAACAGCCCCTGAAGGGGACAGGGGGAGACAGGTGTGTGAAGCACATCGACATTTCTTTTTTTCTGCCCTCGTCTGATCAGCCAGACTGACTTACAACATGTGGATTCATTGCACAGCTTGTTTGTCTGGGAAGGTTCAGACTCTCTGGTCAAATACTGACTGGACCAATCACATGCAGAAGGTGTATTACCCATAATGCAATAGTGCTTTTCTGTAACCCTAACATTTAAGATTGCAGCTGCTACGAGGTAATTTTTATTAATGATGTCCTTTATTACGTGAAGAATGAGTTGTGCATATCTTTAACATTTCCACAGCTGATTTTAAAAGCTTTTCTGTATAAGTAAGATGTTTTTGCGTCAAATCTCTAGTTATCTCTTGACTGTAACCTGTTTTCACTGGCTCTATTAGTCCCGTCTTTGAAGTCAGGCTCTACCAGCTCCTTTGCAGACCGATACAACCGACAAGTCTATTTTTACACAGTTCTTAGAACTTTTCTTTTCCTTCAAGTTTGTTTACGTGTTTGTAAATTTATATTTGTTATGCAATTTATAGACACTGATTTGGCATTGTTATGCTCTGTTCTGTTGTTGCTAATTTGATTGTTGGAGAAAAGGACCTGTTGTGTGGAACAGGAATAAATACACAATGTTCAAGCTGTGCCTGTAATAAATCTCACACTGCTAAGGCAGCCAGAGGGCACATGTGGCACACAATGTGCCTTATTTTTCCTTAAGCAGTCTCTCCCAAAAAATGTATTGTTGTCCGAGTTGAGGATGGAGGTAAATACAGAAAATGTTTCAATAAACTGATTTACTAAAGATAAAAACACTTTATAAATTAAAAACAGAATGATGTTTTCAGGTTTTTTGCAAGAAGAATGATTTTCTTCTGT